GGAAGAACGATTTGCCCTGCTCTTTGAGAAGCTGCTCCGAGTTGTTGGAGAAAAGATAAGAAAAACGACCATTCAGCGCGGCAGACACAGCCGCTTCGGTGCAAAGCTTACCGAACGGGCCTTCAATGACAACGGTGGCGATTGGTAAGCGAACACTCTGCTCCTCGGCGACTTGCCTGATCCACGCGCATTCTCCTGTGAAGTCATCCGGAGACACCAATGAAGGATGGACAACGTCCATGGTTGCCGCTGAGTCTCTAAGTGCTCGGCACGTTTTCTCATTGACCCTAATTTCTTGGAGATACGGCTCCAACAACCGCATGTTTTTTTCTGATTCTCGGATCGTTGCGAAGGCAAACTTTTCCTGACAGTTTCTCGCGATGTGCCCTTCCTTTTTACAGTTGTAGCAGATTAGCGGCTTCCGTTTGTTTTCCGGTTCTAATGCCTGTGTGGTAGAAACCTCACTCGATTTCTCCGCTTCTGTTTGCCCTTCCCCTACACTGTCCTTCGTAAGAGACGGGTCCTTCTTGAAATTACGGTGCGGAGCGGGTTTCCGTTGATCAGGTTTCCTTGAAAAGCCCTCTTTCCTTTCATCCTTTTCAACGCGCGCTGCCCTGCTATGCAACTTTCGGCGAGTATAATACTCCTCAGCTAACTCTGCTGCTTTGTTTAGCTGTACTTCACCAAGTCTGTCCTGCAGCCAAAGCCTGACATTATCCTCGATGCAGCGGTAGAATTGCTCCAATGCAACGCATTCCACCACTTTATCGCGGTCGTCATAAACACCTTCGCCCTTGAGCCATTCAATTAAATCGGCTTTAAGACGAAACGCGAAGTCAACGTGTGACTCATTCCCCTTTTCAGCATACCGGAACCTTTGCCTGAAAGCCTCGGGTGACAACTTGTAACGTCTCAAGAGCACTTCCTTAACCTCGTCATAGCTCTCAAACGCTTCTCTAGACAAGCAAGTTAATGCGTCGGACACTTCGCCGGGAAGAAGAGCTAGCAGGTTCCGCGCCCAAAGAGACTGCTCCAAAGCATTTCGCTCACAGACGTGTTCAAACTTGACGAGATACTTCGCCATGTCCTCGCCTACTACGAACGGTGGCAGTTGATCCCGAATTCTAATACCGCTGACCTGAATCGTCGGAGAAGCTGCGCTAGGCGCCTGCGAACACTGTAGGATTGCCAATTCTAGTCGTTTCATCTCAAGGCGCTCCTGTCTCTCGGCCTCCTCGCGACGTTCGCGCCTTTCAGCTTCTTCACGTTCGCGAGCTTCGCGCCTTTCAGCCTCTTCGCGAGCTTCGCGCCTTTCAGCTTGTTCACGTTCGCGAGCTTCGCGCCTTTCAGCTTCTTCGCGAGCTTCGCGCCTTTCAGCTTCTTCGCGAGCTTCGCGCCTTTGAGCTTCTTCACGAGCTTCTCGCCTTTCAGCCTCCTCACGTTCGCGAGCTTCTACCTCTCGCCTTTCAGCCTCCTCACGGCGTGCTTTAATATCCACCCAGGCCTCATCGACTTCCTCAGCCGACACTCCCTCATCCTTCATGATATCAAGGATCGCTTGCTTTCGTTTCGCACGGCCCAAAGTAATGCCGAGTTCCTCACAAATTTCGATGAGTTCCTTCACTTTAAGGTTCTCCATCGTTCACACTAGCCTCTTGCTGTTTGCCCCTGTTAAGAATCTACTTGCCGTACCCACTATAAGCCTACTAGCAAGACGCGCAAGCAATTTTTCACCCTCCCGTGTTTACCACCTCCGCATTAACTTTGGTTTCAAAGCACTTCAACTTGGCTTGAAACGATCAAAGCTCACTTCAATGCTTCACACAGCCCTTTCTCTAAACTACTACAACCTGAGCTAGAGTAGTCTGGTGAACTGAGGGGAAAACATCAGGCACTCACCGCATCGATGTCGCTGACGCCGGCCGATCCCGCAGCTGCCAACCACTGTTGAGAACGACCTCCGAAATCCCGCCGCTGACCTCCACTGTTGAGAAACGGCGGACCGATCCCGCCGAAGCCACCACTGTTGCGAAAGACGGCGACGCCAACACGGCCCCGGAGGCGCCACTGCTTTCAACTCCGCCGGGAAGGTCACCAGCCGTTTGGTAGCGTATGTTTCTCAGCTCGCGACTGCTTCTGCGCAGAGCTGAGGAGACGAGCGGACGAGACGACGGTGAGTTAAACAAGGTTTATGTACAGCATATATACAGAGGCGTTACAATTTCGGCACTGGGGCCGGCAGAGACTCGAAGAGCCGAGCTCCTCTCTCTAACACATAGGTCAGCCTTTCGCCTAGAACCGCTGACTCACACACATGTCGGCACTCCGACACGGGGACGCCTCTCACATAGGACCGCCGATCGCGACGCGCCGCAGGGCTTCTTTATTTACACCGGGCCCAACTAAAATGTCCAATCAGAAGCGCCGCTGGTCTTCCGAGCAGGCTCCTCCAATGGGGTTCGCCGCGCGATGCGTCAGGCCACCAGACATGAGGACGCCGGCTCGCTGTCACGTGCGCAACTGACTCAATGCACGTGGGCCACAGATGCGCCGCGCGTGTTCACGCCGTGGAGTTGTTCGCGCCCGGCGGAGTGCGGGCTGGCCTTGACCCAGATTGCCTGTTTCAGAGGCACGGACGTTTGACGAGGATTCGCTGGCATAACAGCCTTATTGTAAGAAATCATACGATATTAGCATGGATTAAAGCTTACTTGACAAACCGGTATCAATACGTTTCCCTAAATAGCACCTGCTCCAACCGAGTTGAAGTTGCTTCTGGCGTACCTCAGGGGTCCGTGCTTGGGCCTCTGTTATTTTTAATTTTTATGAATGACATCACCCCCAAGTTTAATGTTAAGATTAAACTCTATGCAGACGACTGCGTGATTTGTGAAACAGTCAATTCAATTCAGGACCAGATTAGGTTAAATGAAAACTTCCAAAAAATCATTTCGTGGTGCGAACTGTGGCAGATGACTGTTAATTACGACAAAACGGTCTTTATGCGAGTAACCCACAAAAAGAAGCCAGTTTTATTTCACTACGGAGCTAATGGAATAGGCCTCTCGGAGGTTGCTGAATATAAATACCTGGGTTTATGGTTCACAAATAATCTATCATGGTCAAAACATATAGATGTCATCACAAATAAAGCGTTACGTAAATTATTCTTTTTGCGACGATCCTTAAAATTAGCAACTCCTTCTGTACGCTTCCTTGCATACCAGTTAATTATATGTCCCATGCTTGAATATGCCGCGCCAATTTGGGACCCTTACACCAAAACAGACATCAGCAAATTAGAAAGAATACAGAAAAAGTAGTGCGTTATATTTATAATTTTTATGGTCGTTCGTCAGTTACTGAGGTCATCAAACGAAGTGAGCTCCCCACCGTTACGAAGATAAATAAAATTTGTCGACTGAAACTTTTGTACCAAATAGTTTAAGGACATTACAACATAGATACCTCCCACATTATCACTTTTTCAGAGGGTTATGCTACCAGGCAAAGACACTCTTTTATGATAGCTCCTTTATTTCCACGAAATAATTGCTTTAAATACTCTTTCTTCTGTAGAACTATTGTTGATTGGAACAACCTAACTAATAACATTAAGAATCACTTTCGTTGTTTGAAAAATGCCTATAGTAGTTCTTCAGTACCACTGATTATATCTTTTGTTGCATTTGTTCCTTTTTGTGTGTCACTTGTAAAATTCGATTATCCGTTAAACGGAATATTTTTTCCAGCGATGTATCCTCTGTATATTCTATATACCCTACTTGGCATTTCACTAATTACTTCCAATTTTGTTTCGCATCCCTATTTGTTTTGCTTTAACTGTATGCATTATATTGTCCGCGTTATGCATTTTCTGCGTGTATATTATTTTGCCCTTTCAGAATACTCTGTACCTCTGTCTCACACCTGCTATGGTCTCTGTTCGAGACTGCAGTATCAATAAATAAAACAAGATGGCAAATTGGCATTTATAACAGGATGTCAAATGATGCGGCAGGACATGTGTGAAGTAAGTGACGCAGAGAACAAGTTCGTTCCCACAAGAGCTGCCGAATCGAACGATCACACGAGTAATGTCAATAATAATAGTATGCCCAATGCACCATTCGCTGGTGTTCCCACAAGTTAGTACTTATCCTTCTATTGATATGTGGAGATGTGAATGTCAGTTTGGATTAGTTGAAAATGCGTTACCATACGTGCGTGTTCTTGTAACGTTTCTGCCAAGGACAACGAAAAGCAGAATGTGATATGAAAGAGATCATTGCTTAATGTCGAACGCGGCTCCAACCTTCTGTAAGGTATGTGGGCGTACCGACGAAAAAATTTACCCCCATTAAATGTGCGTGCATCGCCCACACACTGCATTTAAGTTCAATCCAGCCCGTTCATTATTGATCCTTCAAGAACTCTGTGTAAAGTGAAAGCTAGGGACTCAACATTGCTGATTCATATATCTTTCTTCCTCAGACACTCTTTCGCTGTCTGTTTATTGCACTTTTTAACTTCGATGTTGATTGACTTTGAATGCTAGGCTCGAGATGTCAGTGTTGTCGGTGTGGTTCGCCGTGTACTTGCACTCATCGCTTACGCAATAAGACCTCTCCTGCATGGCTTAGCCTTTGGTTACGGTGATTGAAGGACATCACGGAGAGGCACTGTTTGATTTTAGCTCTTCAGCTACATTGTAGCTATATATGCGAACGACGCATATGTAAGTGAAATCGCTCTAGGCTATTCCTACCATTTCTCGACAGCCTCCCCTGTTCTTCTACTCTCAGTTGGCCCGCCGGCGGCGCCAAGTTTCTCTGAAGCCCCGCTGAGCGGCAGCAGCGTACACCTCTACGTGAGCGGACGTGACATCAGAACCCGACTCTCGCGCATGCGCTCGCAGCCACATCCGGCTGCCATTCTCCGTGATGGAGCGATCGTGGGGAGCTCGCGAGCAGCGTAGGCAGCAGCGGCAGCAGTAGGAGCAGCTTTGCGGAGCTCGCGTCATTTTTAGCGCGCTCCCTTCCACTCACTCGCGAAACCCCGCACGGAACAAAAACACAGTTGTGTCGCGCGGCGCGTGCTAGTGGCATGGCCTCAGCATGAACGCCGGCGAGCAGAGTATCGTAGCCGATTGGCTTCGCACCCTGGGACTGCCTCAGTACGCGGAGAGCTTCGTGGACAACGGATACGATGACCTGGAGATTTGCAAGCAGATTGGCGAGCCCGACTTGGATGCCATCGGCGTCACCGATCCGAGGCACAGGGACCGCGTGCTTCAGGCCGTGCGAGTGTTGCTTGAGCAGGGCGGCACGTCCGTGTACTTCACCCTGGAGGAAGCGGCCAGGCATTCGCGCGTCTCGGCGGCATCGGCCAGCGAGTACGGCTTCGACGACTGGGCGCCGGCGCCGGACAAAGCAGCGGTGCGGCCGGATTCGCTTCGCTACTTTCAGGACGAGTACGAAGAGGGCAAGGCCGAACTGGTGCGCTTTCCCAAGATGCAGCTCAAGATCATGGTCAGGGAGAAAATGGTTCGCGATGGGATACGCCTCAGCATGCAACCGTACAGCAACCCGGTGAGTCAGTTGTGTGGTTCGACACCTCCTCCATGTTGCCCGTTTTCGAAGTCTCCCTTTCGTTTAGCCGCGCACGTTGGAATTTGTGTTTACTACCGAGACTTCTTATCGCTAACGGATCAACTTCACGTTTAGGATAGAAAGCGTCGCAGTTCCGCTGTAGCGTAAAATGTCCGAATGGAGCGACAGGTCTCCGCGATCGCCTCTACAAACGCGTACGTGCGATCACGTTTTCGCCGCCGGAGAGAAGAGGGGCCCGTTGTTTTCAGGGGCGATCTCTGTGGTGTCCGGTCCGGCCAGTTTTAAAAGCTCTCTTGTTATACGGTCGGGCTCCGATCGTGAAAGATTCGCGTACGGTTGTGAGTTGAACTAAACGGGACTGCCGTTATTTCGGCTCGTGTTACCTTTATACCGAAAAACGATTTTCCTCCCGGCATTTTGACAGTTCGCGGGGGGGCGTTTCCGCTCCGAATGGCATATGCCCGCTGCTTGCACGTAGCCCGGCGCTTGGCGTCGGTCGCGAACGATCGATTCTTTGCCATCTGAAAGGACAGCTGACGACGTGTTTTTTGGCGCTGGCTTGATTGTACCGGGGATTACTCGCGTGTGTGTGCACCTTTCGCAAATATTGCGTACTCTGCGTAGCACGTTAGCGCGTGTTCGTTTTTGTTTAGCATCAGCCGCGGCGCGCGCAGGTGTTATTATGGAGACTGCGCCCGTTTCATCTTCCCAATTCAGGAATGCTCGCAGGTGGCATCGCGAAGTGTTGTCGTGTGACGAAATGCTGCACGCGTCTCGAATCCCCTGATTACCAGGGTCGCAGACTATGCTGGACGGTTCGGACTGTCTTGTACATCTGTCATGGTGTTACGCAGACGCTTTAACATTAATAAAGTATGTGTCTGTGCCAGACGAAAGAAGCTTTTGAAGTAATACACAATATAGCTTGATGAGTAGACTCAAACTTCTTACACACGTGATCTAGTTGAAGTAATGAAGCATTACGTTTGTTTCGGGATGGTGACCTAGGTTGGCATATTTTGAAAACAAGGCGAGTCACGAAAAATTGTATAAACCTTGTGAGTGTCTTACGATTCGAATCTATTTATTCAACATTAGAAAGCATATTGAGCCCGACTGGAGCTGTTTCTGGTGCGCCTTAACTGTCGCTTATAAGCGAGTTGCCAACGATATGACGCCCTCTACCTCAATTTCTCCTCTGTAAACCAAGTAAAACATGCCTGCGTGATAGTTTTGTCTTAAATTAGCATTTTCTAATAAAATACAAGCCTCCGTTCGATTTATGGAAGTGGGAAGCTAACTGTTAGTCAGCGCACGAACTACAATCAGGAAAGCAGTTTTATTATCTTTTTTACTTCTGTTCGAGGTGTGCACGGGTTTTTTTCTGGGTTCGATAATGCACGAAAAATTTACTCAAACAACTAGAAGAGGACTACTATAGACTTGTTGTTCGAGGTATAGCGCATCTAGGACGGGACAGAGAAGAAGACACAGAACACATTCTTCTTCTCTGTCCCGTCCTGGATGCGCTGTTCCTCGAACAACATTAATAACCAACGAGCCCGCCGTGCAACCTTAGTCGACTACTATAGACTGTTCAGAAGCAGAATATTCTGTTACGGTGAAAGATGCTTATTATGCAGGCGGGATGATGAATGGTTGTGGTGGGATTAGCCTATAATCCAACCTCACTTTTATATTTGTCTTAAACGCTCATAAATACAAGTAACCTTATAGAAACAAATAAATCGTTAGACGTACGTTACTCGAAGGTATGAGTGAACGCGACACTTCATTTTGGTACTAACGTTATGACATTGTGTCCCGATAACATTTTATATGCTGTTATTGGTATGTCTTACCAATTTAGCCACGACTGTTATCCTTCGCTGTGCTTATAGACGAGCGTGCGCAAGCGCGATTTCTGGCGCCGAAAGTGTTTGTCCCGGCGTACACAGCGGCATTTCGGCCTTTACGAAAGGCAAATCTTAAAAAAATAGTACGCTATTGGCGAACGGGTGGAAATTTCGTTTCGTAGATGGCCTTCGCTGCTCTGAGTACGTATTTCAATAGGTTGGTATTGAAAGAGTAAGTGGAAAACATCATTTACACGTGGAACTACGCTACCTAATATATACGCATATAATACAAAATTGCTCGCATCAGTTATCTTGTTAAGATATCTGTATTCGGAACAAAGCAGGCTGGCTAGAGAGATACTAAACCCTGATCTACAGAAGTGCGCCGTCATTGTACACGAAACACTATGGCTGACTACAAACGATTCTCGCCTTATGTGCGTGATGTTCGGCTATTTACTCTCGCAGTTTAAGCGGCATGACGAAGAAATGGTGAGACTCCCCCCCCCCCCCCCCCCCCCCAGGGGCTAAGGTACTCGGCTGCTGACCCGCAGGTCGCGGGTTCGAATCCCGGCTGCGACGGCTGCATTTCCGATGGAGGTGGAAATGTTGTAGGCCCGTGCGCTCAGATTTGGGTGCACCTTAAAGAACCCCAGGTGGTCGAAATTTCCGGAGCCCTCCACTACGGCGTCTCTCATAATCAATTGGTGGTTTTGGGACGTTAAACCCTATATATCTATCAAAGAAATGGTAATGAAACAGACGGACAAGTAATGTCGCTAGAGGCGACGTTTCGACTGGATGACGCGGGTTTTCTTTGCCGAAACGTTCGATTCAGCGACATGCCCTCGTGGACGATTTGTCGTCACGTCAGGGCTCAGTCTTCTCGTAAACTTATGCCGAGTTCGCGTGAAGCATGAATGGTGGCTTCTCGTTTATTTACGCCAATACTCGCCGTTTATATTAAGACAACCGCCAGCCCACGGATAATCACGGGACTTTGTGATGAACTGACGATGGACATTTCGTTGTTTGCGGGTATTTGTAAGTGAAACCTCGCTGTAACGAACACTAATAGCGGATTATCAGTTGTAGCGAACTAAGTACGAGGTGTGGTTGGTCGTGCACGCTGCATTTTAATGACATTAATTCTTTTTATTACGAAACCGAAAACGAGAGAGTCGCTGTAATATCGGCTGTGACGAAGACGCATTTGGATCGGCGCGATGCTCGGAACTTGAGAGGTAGCAGAAAAAAGAGTGAAATAAATACTGAAAGACTATTCGGAACCTCTTGTTTTCATAATGTAGTTGGGATATTGATGTTATGGGTAAAAATTGGGCCGAAATGTTACGGAAATTTCGGTCATCCAGTCTTCCCTCCACCAACCCCCCCCCCCCCCCCCCCGCTAAAAAAAGTAAAAAAAAACTTATGTAATCGGTTGCACCACCAAAAAAGTATGCTCAAAAAAGGAAAACCTTTGAGGCCCATGTTTTTCGTGGGTTTAAAGCCTAGAATAATGCGGTTTCTTATCTAGGGTTATTGCGTGAGCGAGATCGCTGATTTATTAGAGCCGACCTTTGGCTCTACTGTTACAACGAATATTGGATGTAGCGAACTAAATTTTGGTCAGGTTCGATTGTATACGGAGTTCCTGCTATTGCCTGCTATGTGCAGGTCGGCTTAGCGGCTTCAGCTTGGTTAACCGCCGTGTATTTCTATTGGGAATTATATTCCCTTGGGTGGATCATTTACGTATTGATATATTTACTTGTTTTCAGTACCGAGCAGTCGAATGACGTTCACTATTACTCACTAGACGCATAGTTCGCGCTGAGTGACGACAATGTTAATTGTGCTTGCTGTGCCTGTCAAACGTGGCATTGTTGGCAATCGGGTATCTAACGGAGCCGAGTGATTTGGTCATATGCATCAAACGGCGCGCAGGTCCGCATTTCCAGCGTAATCATAATCTGGCTTCTTGGAATAAAGTGCGCAGTATATCAACCGTCGCATGCCGAACTTCTTTTCCTCAGCTGCTATACAAGGCAGCAGCCACGAGGAGGGGGGGGGGGGATTAAGTTTGGATAGGGGGGGGGGGGTGTTTTGCCGAGAATATTTAATAACATGTGTGTCTTTTAACGCCTTCAACCCCACACTTCCCCCCCCCCCCCCCAAAAAAAAAAAAAATTCCTGTCTACGGGCCTGTGCCGTATACAATCGTGCCAACGCTCCGGCCTACATTTCTGTGCGACGCATGCAAATATTAACTCAACTCATAACCGATATGGTAGTGTTTCCCAGAAGCCCCTATCCTTTTCCTTGTTGAAATGGCTTGTTTTTTCTTCTTTTTTATATTCGTGCTGTCACTGCATACGTGAAATTAACATCAAGCAGCTATAGCTGCAGGGGCGTTTCTCCGGCGCCTTGTTCAGCGAGGCAGAAAATTGAGTCAGTATACCTGTATATAGAGGATGGCTCGAGACGCTTTACGGACGAAAAAGGGTGAAGTGAATTAACGCACGTGGCGTTTTAAACGCGCAGAGTTGCCTTGAATTCTATCGGGACTGCATAGAATAGTACGCTTGGTATTTGTATGTGCAATATGTGTTGACTCCTCCTGCCCTCCGTGCCTCGTCCAAGCGTTGTGGTCTTCCAGAGCTTTTGCATAAGCCGTCTCGTTGATGAATGTTAAAGCGTTTGTGCCCTTCACGTTTTACCTGGCAAATGCTGTCGATGCATACTTCGTCCATAAGACAGCGCGTACCCTTTCACGCTCGGACTGATTGCATTCTTGAATTAATATACGCGATATGCTGTTTCGTCTTAGATATTCTACGCCTTTCACCGTGTGCGACAACTCTGTTATTTTCATTCTTTATACTATCGCTACTTCTCGTTCTGTCTCTTCATCGGTAAATCAACAGGCAACTCCTACTCTCACAACAAACAAAAGCTAGAACTCCAAGACAGCCCCATTAAGTTCCGCATCGCAAGAATTCGTCACTGAAGGTTAACTCGGTCAAACATGTTAGCAGCAGGAACAACATTGTAAACCAAACCAAGAGCCTTTATTATTTTTTTTTCGTCCTGTTCGACCGGGGTGGGACTCCTGCACAT